AAAAAAAAAAAAGATTGAGGCCAACCTGGGCTACATAGTAAGTTCAAGGCCAGCCTACACATGCATAGCGAGACTGTCTCCAAAAAAATAAAAATGGTGGCCTTATCTGATCTAGGAACAGACTTTCTGATGAATTTTCCCATGCCATCACTCTTCAGTTATCAGAGCATAGTGGTAGCCATCTGCTATAAAAAATGTAAGATTTTCTATCTTTACCAGATTGTTATGAGACTGGAAACTCATAGCAAGGAATGTGTCAAGAAATGATGGCACTTTTCCCCTTGCTGCAGGACGTCTGACCTGGCTCGTGTACATCATTGGAGCCGTGATAGGTGGGCGGGTTTCCTTTGCCAGCACTGATGAGCAAGATGCTATGGATGGCGAGCTTGTCTGTCGGTAAGTGCACGCCACAGACTCCTTCCATTCTGCTCCTGTCACCCCTGCCCTCCAGGTGGGTCCCCATTGATATTCTTCCTGTGTGCAGCTAAGGGCCTTGATAACAAAGACCTGCTGCAATACAGGTCCAACTTCAAGCCTTTCCTGAGTACCATGAAATCTCTGCCTAGGAGCCTTATTAAAAAAACGTGTGAGGGCTGGGGAGCTGGCTCAGTGGAATAAGTGCTTCCCTGGCAAGCATAAGGGCCTGAGTTCAATCCCAGGTTCTGCCAAAAAAAAAACCAAAAACGTGTGAGCAGTTCAGCCAGGAAATGATGGACACAGAATTGAGAAAACTAGTGCAGGCAGTAACTGTTCGTCCTGCTTTAAGGTCACTGTCTCAGAGTTAATGGGATGTGGGCTTCTTTTGCCATGCTGACACAAGTCTAAAGGGAAGCTGGCTGCTCAGCTGTTGCCAGACATAGAATTAGGGAATTTCTACAGCCTTCCCAGGCTCTTCACCATACACCTGCCCACCTGTGGGATAAAGTTCTTTTGTATTTTTATAAATCTCATTTTATTAAAAACCTTTAAGTGAGCTTTAAAACTTAATGAAATTTTTTCTAAGTTGAGGGAAAGAACATAATAATTTCTAAAAACTTACCTAACAGAAATAAAAGCCAAAATTTTGGTTTGTTGATTTGTTTTTAGCTGGTGGTGGTGGAAGAATTTTATTGTGGGGCCTAGGGAAGTTTTTGCATACTACTAACAGAAAAAGCATTTTTTACACCTTTTTCAACTTAACTAAATATATACTTCTGTGAAATGACACTGTGAAGAACTTTCTTTTCCTATGTTTTTTTGTGTAATTATATGGTATAACCTCAAAGAACATTTTGTAATATTTAATAATTAGTTTCAGAACAAGTATTTGTTACATGCTAAAATGAATTTTTAAGACGAATAACTGTATTTTCTAAAATTAGTGAGAAGAGCATAATTGTTTTACTTTTTTTAAAATCTTCATCTTGGGCTGGTGAGATGGCTCAGTGGTCTAAAGCACCTACTTGGAACAAGCTTGGCAAAGCACAAGGACCACGGTTCAATCCCCCAGCACCACATGCCAGCCAGCCCCGCCCCCAGGAGGGCTGAGCTGGCCCCACACACACACACACATAACAATAAATTTTTTTAAAAAAAATTTTAAAAAATCTTCATCTCTTGCATGGTGGAAGTCAGCTGGGTTCTGCATTTAGTCTATTGTGATAGGAGACCCACTGTGCCCTCATGTGAGAATCCAAGTGAAAAGGGCACAAGTAATTTAGGGTAGTTGGGCTGGAGAGATAGCTCAGTGGCATAAGCGCTTTCCTAGCAAGTGCAAGGGCCTGAGTTCAATTCCCGGTTTTGCAAAATAATAATAATTATTATTATTATTATTTAGGGTAGTTATGCAAATGATTTTGTGACTTTGCAGAGAACTGCTACCTTAAAGGGTTCAAAACTTTCCGATGCTGTCTCAAGGCACGAGTACACTTTAATCTGGTGCTTTAGACTCCATTGATCTGCAGACATCTCACTAATTCTCATTCTAAAAATCCCCTTTGCTGGGCAAGGGGGCACATGCCTACAACTCCAGCACTCAGAAGGCAGCGGCAGGAGGATTGCCATAAGTTTGAGGCCAGCCTAAGCTAAGTGTTAAATCCCCATTTGTCTCTTTACACACCGATTTTGTTTTTCAGATACCTATTTGCCCTTAATTAATTGTCTTAATCCTAATAAAGGCCTCTATGGTGTTGGTATTGTTCCACTGCTTTTTTTTTTTTTTTTTTTTTTTTGGTGGAACTGGGGATTGAATTCAGGCCCTTGCACTTGCCAGGCATACACTTATTCTATCGCCCCAGCACCACCCCCACCTTTTTTTTTCTTTTCTTTTTTTTTTTTTTTTAAGAATTGAGCAAAGATTTACTAGGAATGAGATCTAATACTTTCCTGATTCTGCAGGCTAGGATAATGCTATATATGTGTCATGATGTAAATGTAATTCAGACAGTGTTGTGGACTAGATTGAGTGTAGTTTGCTCATGATATGTCACAAATAGTTTGCTACCTCTTCTCACACTATCAAAATGTCAAATGACTCACTTAAAATAACATTGTTCTTATTCAGCGTTCACTCATTTTTTCCGCTGTGCTTTCTGCAGGGGGTGGTAAGGGGTATAGGGAAAAGGAATGAAGTAGTATACAGGTAGCATATCTGCAGTCTGTCCCTGAAAATGTTTCCTGCCTATCCTTTGTGTGTTTCCATTCCTTTCATGCCTTGTAGAAAAAAAACATCAAGAATCACTGGACTACTCCAAGCTCCCTCGTTGGTAGAGATGAACTGGAGTGGAGAAAATCACTTTGTCTCCCAGAAATTTCAAGAACATTACCCTTCACATCTGTATTTTCCCACTATTCCTAAGCTGGTTATGAGTTCTGTCTCGAGACAAATACTGAGCCTTGCTATCTTGGCTATGGTTCTTGTGAACAGAAATGCGAACTTTTATTCCCTCTCTAGGTAGAAAACACCATTCAGCTAAAATGAGTAAGGAGAGAGCACATGGTTAATTCATTGATAGCTTGGATTGTCTAGAGTGACCAGGATATCCTTCTGTTGAATCGTTGCTCCTCTTTCTCTAGGGTGCTCCAACTCATGAACCTAACAGATTCCCGCTTAGCTCAGGCGGGTAATGAGAAGCTCGAATTGGCCATGCTGAGTTTTTTTGAACAGTTCCGTAAGATCTACATTGGAGACCAGGTGCAGAAATCCTCGAAGGTAACAGACACAGTTGGCTCCATTTAGTTCTTACTTTTTGCATGTGGAACCAGGGAAACAGTTGATAACAGTTGAAAGATAGCATCCAGATTTTTAGGTATTGGGATAATCTTAAGTGTTTTCTCTTAGTCTGTAGAATTCTGGGAAACTCCTCAAAGAATCAGGTCCATTTCTCTAGTAGTCCATACGCTTAACAAATGGCCAATCAAAACATCTGTTGTTCTCCCCCAAATTGGCAGTTGCTAGTCTCTAAACATGAGTTAATGTTTAGAGCAGCATAAGGTTTTGGCAGTTTTGTCATTTCAGGATTGAAGGGGCCCAGTAAGAGAGTTCCATTCTGAGAAACTGGTGTCAGGCGCCTTCAACAAGGGTGCCCCAGGACTGCTGTCCATTTTCTTTGCATGTTGTAGCCCTGTGTGTGGAAAAGTCCAGGGATGTGATTGTTTTAATCCATGGTTTCTGGTTACTTTCTCTTCCTTTCACATTATACCAGCTGTATCGCCGACTCTCAGAAGTTCTTGGCTTGAATGATGAGACCATGGTCCTAAGCGTCTTCATAGGAAAAATGTAAGTCTTTCAGCTTGCCATCAGCAAGAGGCCCTTGCAGTCCTGTTGCAACTGTAAAATGTGATCTTGGCATTGTGTTGCCACTGCCTGGATTTTCCAGCATTGATCGTTTGCGTCAGAAAATTGTGCATTTGAGTGTGTGACAAGCTGTGCTTAGAGATATGGCCCGGCCCCAGAGCATTCCAGGCTTGTACAGAATCTTGCAGAATCTTCTCTTTAGCCTTTGGAATCACAGGTAAAGCCCTGTCATGGCATTACCAAAGTGGAACTTCCTCCCCAGTAATTGCTGCTCAGCTGCACAGCCAGTCGCCGAGCTGCTCAGGGCACCCAGAGTAGGCATTCACTTTCTGGTGCTGATTTCCATGGTTCTGACCCCAGAGAAGAGCCCCACTTTCAGGCGGGCTTACTCCTCTCAGGAAGTATCACACCCTCTGAAAGTCTTGAGTCTGCAAAATCTAGTGTTGTTACTTGATCTGTCAACAAAGTTGGCAGTCCTGACTGGCCCTATTTTTTGTTTTTGTTTTTTTAAGTTATGCCCCTTGGGTTACATTTTTCCCTTTTTATTAGTCTTAATTTATCAGTGCACACACTAAGAGCCAATTGTATTACTCAGGGCTGTGTGCAAAGTGACATTTTGCTCCTTTCTAACTCTCCTAGCCCTAAGCACTCATATCCATGAGCTGGTTAATAATTTAAGATGAAAAAAACAAAGGGCATCTAAAGGACTTTGCCAGCCAAGCATCCAGAAGCAAGGGCTACTAGAATTCTGCAGCTGACGGTGGATGGTGCAGGTGCAGAATTGCAGACGTCTGCATGTATCACTGCCGCAGAAATCTCTTACCCTTGCTGCAGAAATCAGCCCTGGAGTGCCCCAGAATTCCAAGGGCCTGGGTATGGGCCAGTGTAGCTTTGGAACCAAGTAGTGAAGATTATCTGAAGGATAATTTTTCTAGTCAACCAAATGTAAGTACGGAGATTTTATACCCATTTTTTATTTATTTTTTTTTGTGGTCGTGATGTCTGTGAATTGGTGATGCAGATGTGTGGTGACTTTTGATGGATGATTTTCTTCTTCTCCTGGTCCTCAGGGAAACCAAGAAAGTCAAAAGTGTCTCTTGCTTTTCTTTTCTTTTTTTTTTTTTTTTTTTCTTTTTCTTTCTTTCTTTCTTTTTTTTTTCTTTCTTTCTTCTTTTTCTTTTTGTCCTCCAGCATCACCAACTTGAAGTATTGGGGCCGCTGTGAACCAATCACCTCCAAGACACTACAGCTTCTCAATGACCTCTCCATTGGATATCCTTTTCTAAACTAGCTCCTGAGCACAGCAGAAACTGGTATAATGACCCAGAAGTCATGGCCTCCTACTGCTGCCTCTGTCTTCTAGCTAAACTATCTTCCATTGTCCTGGGAGTCTTAAGGCAATACCTACACCAACTCCAGAACCCCCTAAATGAGCCAGTACACCACTACAGATTTATCCCTGGCTAGTGAAGAGGCCCAGAAGTGCTTGGGGAACCTAGCCCACAGATACCCACACTGTATGACTGAGGTTGTAGCGTCCCTTGTGTAACAGCATCCCTCAGCTGATTGGTGGAAACAGCTTAATGCCAAGCTTCAAGACAGGAGTAGTAGTTGTGCTGCTTCTTAATGTGGATACTTCTGCTGTGAAGTCTGAATTGCTGAATCCTTTCACAAGCAGAGATCTGCAAGAGCAGTAACTTTTTCCTCAGTTCTCCTAAAGATTGTACATGACTAGTGCTGTTCTGCATAGGCAAGAAGCCCATTCCTGGTGCACAGTGGAGACTGTAGGTAGTGATCTAGGACCTAAACTCTCTTGGAGTTCCTACCAAGGAAAGCTGTTCTAAGGTAGTTACAATTTTGTCGGAGGGAACCACTGGGGTTTTTTAGGGTTCTTAATTGGTTCACTTTGCTTAGACGAGAACATATCTTTTCCTGTTTGGCAGTGGTACACTCAAGTAGTTGAGAAAAATGAGAAATTTGAGTAAAACTTAATCCTGGAGCATCTCCATCTACCTGAAAGATTCTTGGTTTGCCTCACACTTTCCTTGACCTCCTCCCTTTGTCTTCACCTACAGTAGCGTAAGGAAGCTGGTGAAGCTTAGTGCGGTACAGTTCATGCTGAACAATCACACAGTGAGTGATTTTAGCTTCTTCCTGTCCTCTCTCTGACCACCCACACACACCTCTCAGCACATAAAAAGAGATGTTGACACTGAGGCCCTGGGTACTGCTGCTACAGACTGCAGTCTCTGACTCCTGTCACACTGCCAGATTACTGTCATCAGAGCTGCTGTCCGGCTTCAGGATGACTGAGTTGTGTTGGAGTCACCTACTACTGTTCGTACTTGAGATAATTTGGTAGTAGGTAACAACCACCGTATCTAATAAAAAAATATCCTCAAATCCTTAAGGAATGATCTTGGAGCCATTAGCTTGAAAGGGCTCAGTAATTCTCAAATTACTGGCTTGCATTCTGCCTCTGACCCATGTTTTTACCTTTTTAACTTGTGTTCTTTTTTTTAATAGAGCGAGCACTTTTCATTTTTGGGTATTAACAATCAGTCCAACCTGACAGACATGCGGTGTCGGACTACCTTCTACACGGCACTTGGGCGTCTCCTCATGGTGGATTTAGGTACTGCAATAAATCTAGAGGCTCATAAAGTAATCTGGCACTATTCTAAATTTTTATTTGAGGACAGAAAACCAGATGTGGGGGAAATCTTCTCTGTTGTTTCAACAGTAACAAAACCACCTGAAATAACAGTCAGATTTCACCAAGAACACATCATGCTGTCTTGGTCCCTGTGGCTGGAAGAGAGTAACAGTATGCTTAAAGTTTTCATCTGATAAATGGTGGCGTTAAAGTTCTCTTCATCGCTGGGCACAGTAGCACATGAGTGTTGTCCTAGCTACTCAGGAGGCTGAGCCAGGAGGATCAGATGTTCAAGCCCAGCCTGGGCAACTTAGTGAGGCCCTGTCTCAAAATTAAGTTTAAAAGACCTGTATTGTCTTAATATATAACATAGTTTTTATGTGTAAAATAAAGGGACCATGAAGTGAAATTCCTGACTCTCTTCTTTGCCTCTACTGCCCACACACCAAGGTGCAGGCCCTCTTGGCAGTCAGGGGAGGCTTCATCATCCAGGTCTTTCACACATGTAAACCAGGAGGGCTCTAGTGCTGCTGGGATGGTAGTAGTTTTGAACCAACTAATAATTGAAGCCCAGTGGTATTACTGTAATTTTGAGCTATCTGAATTTAATCCTACTAAAAACCTATGTTCATGAACGATGACTAAGAAAAGTATGAGGAAAGCCTCCACATGTACCTCTTTCAGTTTGTCACCTAGTTCTCACGCATCAGCCTCTGTCCCTTCTCAGCTGACTCTAGTTCTCACTGAAGGCAGTAGTGAGTTGAGTAGCTCCTTATATCCAGACAAACCTCTCATGCTGTGCTTGGCTTCTAAACCTTAGGACGTCCCTGCACTGGATGATTTCTATCACTTCGTAGTTTAAATTTTGGTTTCTGTGTATACATTTTATTCTTAAGTACTACTAAGGCCTATTGAGATAATAGGGGAGCCCATGAATTATCCTGGGGCCTGCTTATCTTTCATGCCATCTACTTTTCAAGCACACCCAGCTTGCTCTTGCTGGTAGCAGAGTCACACCTGGGGCTGTTTCCGTTGCAGGAGAGGATGAAGATCAGTATGAGCAGTTCATGCTGCCCCTCACAGCAGCTTTCGAGGCAGTGGCCCAGATGTTTAGCACTAACACTTTCAACGAGCAAGAGGCAAAGGTGAGTCCTTCACCCACCACTGAGCGGCTCCTGGTTGGGGGCAGTCCCTGATGGCGCCCACATCAGCCAGCATGGCAGGAAGCAATGCTGCCCGTACGTCGGCCCTCGGGTTGGTTTTTACTTCTCTTCTGGGCTCTTAGGATTCTCAAAGAACCAGCAGAGCTTAACAGAATGTTTTAATCTGTTTTTAAATGTGTCATCACAAAGTTATTTGTAGTTTTCTTACTGCCTTTTTATCACTGCTTTGTCTTTGCCCCCTTTTCATTTTTAATAGTTTGTGGAGATCAACCCTGCCAGAGTTGTTAATTTTATACTCTAACTTGTTGATTTTCAGACCTTCCTCTCTCCCAGTATAGTCATTTAAAACTATAAATGTCTATAGACATATTATTCCACAAGTTTTTTTTTTAATTTAAAAAAAAATACAAACTCACCATCCCATTTTACACATATAGTTTGGTAGTGTCTTCACATTGTGATGAAACATATCTTCAGATTCCATAAAGTTTTTGGTTTTTTGTGGTGCTGGGGATCAAATCCAGGGCCTATGCATGCAAGGCAAGAGCTCTACCACGGAGCCACGTCTCTAGCCCTGTTGTTTTTTTTGACACAGGGCCTCACTAGTATACTAGCCTTGGACTCATTGTGGTTGGCCTCTCTACGAACTCACAGTGATCCTCCTGCCTCAGCCTCCCAAGTGCTGGGATGACAGACATGTGCCACCACACCTGGCTCCACAAGTTTAAATATGTAACATTTTCATTATCAGTCAGGTCTTCATAATTTCTCATTAAGATTTTTTTTCTTTGGATTTCCATATATAGAGTATTTTAAGTTACTTTCAGTTTTTGATTTCTGGCTCTCAAAATTGTCATTTTTGATTGTTGCTTTCCTCATCTTTTACTTCGCACACACCTGTTCTCCTGACCTATAGATATTTGTGCTCCCCAGATCAGCAGACACCAGGATATCAGTACTGGGCATGCCCTTTCCAGGGTTCATGAGGGCACCAAGATGACCTTTGGAGAGCCAGCAGTGAGCCTGGAATTTGCCTGAAAAAAAAAAAAAAAAAAAAAATGGCAAGCCTTTTAACTTGACTAGCTTTTTAGCTTCCCCTCTTCAGATCATTAGAGGGGTCAGAGAACAACACTATTTTATCCAGCTCCTTTCTCTCTTTTAAGTATTTTGAGGTGTGAGATGGGTATCATTCAGACCAAGAAACATTAACATGGAACACATCAAAAGTTAGGCTGTGATGTCAGCCACCATGAAGAACCTCACCGAGGGCTATCAGTGAACTTCAGCCTCTCCCCTCATGTTAGTGCCATACAAAGCAAATAAAATCTAAAAATCCTTCTTTGAGGCTGAGGCTTAGCTCATTGGTAGAGCTCTTGCCTAGCACACACAGGACCCCCAGGGTTCTTCTCCAGCATTGAAGGTCAGAGCCGCAGCTTCAGAGCACCATGGACTAGAGTGCTCATCCACATCTTTGTCATGTCCCATGTAATCAGTCTTTTACATTGATTGTGTCTTAGACTATAAAACTGAGCTCATAGCATCAGCTTAAGAATAGATCTGAAAAAAAAAAAAAGAATAGATCTGTTTGCTTAAAGCAGGCTTTTCACATGTGTAATGGTTAACATATCTATGACCACTAGAAATTGAAAGCAGTCATACTGCTGTTAAGAACCCCTATTCAAAAGTTCTACTGGAAAGAGAATATTGGATTTGGAGTCTAGGTGTGTGCTGTGTCCTAATCTGGGGCCCCTGCGACCCAACAGCACCACCATGGGATTTGCTTGCCTCAGGCCTCTGCCTCTTTTTCCTATAATGGGAAAGTATGGTACTTTATTGCTCCTGGCTTCACCTTATCTTACTTCTAGTCCCCCAGACTTTTCCTCTATGTCTCCCCCCGCCCTCCCATACCTTTTGAATGTTAAGGGTACTTTGTGGTCACTTCTTTTCAACTTTGCCATTTCTTAAATATACTTTACTACTTATCAGTCTCTGTTTTTGCTGTGAGCTATAGTCTAGGTTGCATATCCCTTCTCTGAAATGCTCAGGCCAGAAGTATTTCAGTTCTCAGAAACTTTTTGGATTTTGGAATATCTGGTTATATATAAATGAGGTATCTTCAGGAGAGGGCCCAAGTATAAACACAGAATTTATTATGTTTCCTATGTACTTTATACATATAATCTAAAGATTTATACAATACTTTTGCAATTTTGTACATCAAAGCTCTATGGTATGGAATTTTCTACTCGTGGCAGCATTTTTGAATCAATACTCAGAAAATTTTTGATTTGGAATGTTTCAGATTTGACATTTTAATATGAGGGATGCTCAACCTCAATAACAAGCTTCCAAAACAATTTTTTTCATATGTGTGTTGCTGAAGCAAGCATTCCAGAAGTAATTTTTTTTTTTTTTTTTTTTTTTTTTTTTAACAGAACCAGGAACTCAGGTCCTTGTGCTTGCCAGGCAAGCGTTTATTTCTACTGAGCTATCTCCCCGCTCCCCCTTTTTTTAAACTGGGGATCAAACTCAGACCTTGCAATAACTAGGCATCCAGAACTAATTCGTTTTTTTGTTTTCTGTTTTTTGTTTTGGGCAGAACCAGGGATTGAACTCAGATCCTTGTGTTTGCCAGTCCAGCGCTTATCCTACTGAGCCATCTCCCCAGCCCCTCCAGAACTAATTTTTAAATGAAAAGGTTATATTGTAGTGTAGAAGCAACTGATTTAGAATACTAGACAAGACTTATCTGTGGGAGAGAAAGAGAATTAAATTACATATGTGCAAAATTCCTATCAGATGGTTATGGTTTGGTCTTCTATTGTAACATATTTTTGCCTTCTACTGCAGCGAACTCTAGTTGGCCTAGTGAGAGACCTCAGAGGGATAGCGTTCGCCTTCAATGCCAAGACCAGCTTCATGATGCTGTTTGAATGGATGTATCCTAATTCAAACTAGGTGCATGCTACACAAGCCTCATCTGGGGTGTGACTGGTGATGGAGTCGCCGAGAGGAGATGAAGGCAGGCAGGGAGGAAAAGAGGGAGGGCGGGGTGGTGAGGCAAGAAGGTAAAGAAGTATCCAGAAGGTCTGACATACCTTTCTTTGGGATTCCAGTCTACTGCAGGGATAACTTTTAGGAATTAAAAAGTATAATTCTAAATTCATAACCTTGAACAGATCATTTCAGATCTGTTTGGGTCAAGAAGATGGTCAAAAGTTTGAGTGCTTCCGTTTCTATAATTGTTATGGAAAGAGAATAGATTCCTTATATCACAGAAGTAGTAAAGGGTAAATAGCAGTGTGTAACACACTGTTCTGCAGAAGAAAGGCTGCTATGTACATTAAAATTATTGTTCCCTGTTACAGGTTAAAGGATAGGCAGTAACTGTACCATCTTCTAGATAGACTCCATAGTCAGCAAGCAAGAGACACGTAACAGAAACTGTAATTTGAGTTTGTGCTTGACTAGTGCTGAGAGATCATTTTAAATTCTATATTTTTCTGGATTCAAAAATTCTTCCTTAGCTTCCCATTTACAGATACCCATCCTATATGCCAATTCTCCAGCGGGCAATTGAACTCTGGTACCATGATCCAGCCTGCACCACGCCTGTGCTCAAGCTGATGGCTGAACTAGTTCATAACAGGTAAGCAGAAGGGTGCTTCAGGAGCTTTACCTAGTGTTCGGGCAGATTGGCAGTCATGCACTGGTGTCAAATTTGGATACCTTTTAAAGTAAGATAGATAGATAGATAGATAGATAGATAGATAGATAGATAGATAGATAGATAGATAGATACCGGTGTCCCCAACCACAGAAAGTCATAGCTGCATACAGGAAACAGACTCCTAGGAATTCTTTCTATTCTTAGAAGTTTGGCATCCAAAATTATGACTTCCTGGCACATGTGCCAGTGGTGCTTTGTCTGGCACAAGAAAGTTTTTTATAGGCAGATTGAAATGATCACTATCACAAAGTCTGTAAAGATTTTTTTTTTTTTTCTTTTTTGTGGAACTGGGGATTGAACTCAGACCCTTGTGCTTGCCAGGGAAGCGCTTATTCCACTGAGCCATCTCCTCAGCCCCAAGATTTATTTTTTAACACAAGAAAAATTTCTGGGGCCGGGGAGATGGCTCAGAATAAGCGCTTCCCTGGCAAGTACAAGGGCCTGAGTTCAATCCTGTTTCACCAAAAAAAAAAAAAAGAAAGAAAGAAAAGATAAATTTCTTAGGCACCAAATTTTACATATTTCCAACCAAAATACAAATTAATTTAAAGAGCAAAATGAAAGTGGTGGTAGGACACAGGACCTAAAGTGGAGATAAGATGGTAGTGACCATGATCAAGAAGTGGAAGAAAGGGGGGAGCCAGAGAGATGGCTCAGTAGAATAAGTGCAAGGGCCTGAGTTCAATCCCTGGTTCTACCAAAAAAAAAAAAAAAAAAAAAGTGGTATGTGCAAGGTTCTGACTTTGGTCCCTGGTCAAAAAAAAGGGGGGCGCCAGTGAGATGGCTTAGTGAAATAAGCACTTCCCTGGCAAGCACAAGGGCCTGAGTTCAATCCCCGGTTCCACAAAAAAAAAAAATTTCCAGGTGGCGTGTGGTGGTGCAAGCCTGTATCACATCATTCAGGAGGCTGAGGCAGGAGGATCATTGTGAATTAGAGGCCAGTCAAGGCTACAAAGTGAGCTCGAGGCCAGCCTGACCTGCATAGCAAGACCTTGTCTCAAAAAGAAGTGATATGTGTAGACAGCAGTTCCCCAAAATGCATGCCATTGCTAGGTACAAACAATGAAAAAAGAAAAAGCCAGCATCTTAGTTTTGCTAGGATTTCAAGCATGTGCATCTGTCTTTCATGGGACTACAGAAATAATTAATTTTTGGCTGCCTTTGTGGGGGAAAGAGAAGTGCTGCAAGAGGCCATAACCTCCAGTGAGGCTGACATTCAAGAGCAGATACTTGTGAACACCCCGTCTTTGCCAGTGCACCTCCTAGCAGTTGTACCGGGCTGAATCTCAATGCTCTTTCACTGTCACATGCACTGGGAAAGACGGGCAGAAACCAAGGACAACCTGGGAGCTGTGGCGCGCACCTGTACTCCCAGCTACACGGACAGCTGGGTAGAGCTGCAGATTGGAGTTCTGCATGGGTAACTTAGTAAGCCTGTCTGAAAATTTTAAAAAGAACTGGATATGTAGCTCAGCAGTAGAACACCCCTAAGTTCAATCCCTACTACCAAAAATTAAAAAAAAAAAAAAAAAACAACTGCCAGCAGTGATTAGATACTATAGAAAAACAAGATAATATGATGGTGGGACTGGAGAGATGGCTCAGTGGTCTAAAGCACCTACTTGGAACAAGCTTAGCAATGTACAGGGACCGTGGTTCAATCCCCCAGCACCACATGCCAGCCAGCCCCGCCCCCTGGTGGGCTGAGCTGGCCACACACACACACACAAATAAATAAATGTTAAAAAAAAAAAAAAAAAAAATTAAAAAAAAAAAAAAAACATTTTTTAAAAAAAAAAAAAAAAAAAAAAAAAAAAAAAAAAAAAAAAAAAAAAAAAAACAGGTTGTGTTAAAAAAAAAAAAAAAGATAATATGATGGAGAGAAACAGACCAGGAAAGGCCTATTAGAGAAGGTGATGTTTAAGCTGGGATTCGAATGACAAGCATTCTGGTAGCCCTGTGCAGACAAGAATAACAGAGCTTGCTGGCATTTGAGACAGAAAAATACCACTGTGACTAAAGCTTGAGTGAGCTGATGCTGTGTTGAAAAGAGTTAAAGCAGTTGGCAGAGGCCGGATTACCAAGTGCCAGGCACAGCGGTGGCAGAAAGCTGGCACTGATTATCACTGTGGTGGGAAACTGCTAGGGTACTCTACACAAGGCTGTAAAATGACTTGGGTTACATTATTTAAAAGTGTACAAGTGAGATAAATGGAGCTGGAACTGGATGGGTGCATTGCTTATTTTGGAATTAGACATTGTGGGGGCCTGGCAAAAAAAAAGGCTCTTGAGACCTGTTATGGCTGTGTCTAGATGGCCCCCCAAACCTCATGCAGTCACGGTGGGCCTTTTCAGTGGTGGCTGGATCTAGAGTGTATGATGCTGGGATTGACTCGTGGTGTAGTGCTACGCTTAAGGGCACCAGGATTAACAGTGACTGGGGACCCCCCCCCCCCAAGTAGCTAGGATAAGATAAAAGGGGCAGAAAGAGCTGTGGTCGTCCCCTTGCTTGCTTGCTTTTGCTGTCTTCTGCTTGCCATGAACTGGTTCTACTCTTAATACTCTACTAAGCCACCCTGCCTTGGAGCCAGCTGATTATGGACTGAAACCTCTACAAACTGTGAGCTAAATAAACTTTCCTCCTTTAACTTTGGGTGTGAGGTATTTTGTTTCAGCAACCTGAGCGAAGTAACAAGAGGCCTCACCAAACTAAGTAAGAAGTAGAGCAGATCAAGAGGTGTTCTGGTCTCACAGTCAGAACTAGCCAGGTGTAGTAGTGCACACCTACAGTCCCAACACTCAGGAAGCTGAGGCAGGAGGATGGCCACAGTTTGAGGCCAAGCTGGGCTACATAGTGAGTTCAAGGCTAGCCTAAACTATATAGCAAGACCCACCTCAAAAAAAAAAAAAAAAAATTAAAAAGCTTTTCGGGCTGGGAAGATAGCTCAGTAGAATAAGTGCTTACCTGGCAAGCACCAGGCCATGAGTTCAATCCCCAGTACCGCTAAATAAATAAATAAATAAATAAATAAATAAATAAATAGCTTTCCTTCTCTGCCTGACATCTGTTGTGACATTTTAAGTCCCTTTGTATCTTTTCTTATAAAGTGGTAACATTGCTTGTACCTCTCCTACTTTCCACAGAAGCTATAAGGAAGATGTAAATCGATATCTAAAGGGCAGAATTGGTACCGAGAAATGATTGGCAAGATGATTTCAGTCATGTTTTTGAGACAGTCTCACTAAATTGCCCAGGCTGGGCTTGAAGTCATGATCCTCCTGCCTCAGCCTTCCATAAATTAAGGACTTTTGTCCTGTTTTGTTTCTTGTATTTTCAATTTGAGTAGCAGGAATTTGGAGCTAGCATATTGGACTTGAGGAGACACTACAGCACTGGTTAAATATTTCACTTAGGTTATCCTCACATCAGGACAGGCACCCTGCACATCTTCACAGGAGTACCCAGAGTCCTCTAAAATTCCCATCTTCCAAGAAAATCCCTGACTTTGTCTCCTCTGTTCTCTGCTCAGATCTCAGCGACTCCAGTTTGATGTCTCTTCCCCTAATGGCATCTTACTTTTCCGAGAAACCAGCAAAATGATCACAATGTACGGTAGGTACTTTAGAGGAGCATGCTCAGGAGATGATTCTGACTCCGCCACCTTGCTGCACACTCCGCTGTCCCTGGCAGTAGCCAGAGCAACACTCCCATGGCTTCTGTGTTCCTTGTTCGCACATATTAGCACACCAGCTGCTTCCAAAGGCCTGCTGAAATCTGTGTATGCCTTTGGAGTGAGAGGGGTGAGGTGGCATAAAAACTCTCTCACACTGTGGTTGATTATATACCCTACATGTCCACTCAGGCAATCGTATCCTGACACTAGGAGAGGTCCCGAAGGATCAGGTCTATGCACTGAAGCTTAAGGGCATCTCCATCTGCTTCTCCATGCTGAAGGCTGCCCTCAGTGGGAGTTACGTCAATTTTGGAGTCTTCCGCCTCTATGGAGATGATGCCCTGGACAACGCTCTGCAGACCTTTATCAAGCTGCTCCTCTCCATCCCCCACAGTGACCTCCTGGTAAGCCTCAGCCTTGCTAGAGGTCTTGCCCCTCATCACACTCAGACCTTCTTACTTGAGACCAGGGTAAATTGCAAGCTAGTCCCTTTCTGCCCTAACTCTGTATCATATTTCCTAACTGGAAGGAACAAGCTGTCTTTTTAGGACCATATCCCTTGATGCTAAAATTGGTAGGTGCTAAGGCTGATTTTTTTTTTTTTTTTCCTCCTCTGCCATAGGACTACCCCAAGCTCAGCCAGTCTTACTACTCATTACTGGAAGTCCTGACACAGGACCATATGAACTTTATCGCAAGTCTGGAACCTCATGTCATCATGTATATTCTCTCTTCCATTTCTGAAGGACTTACTGCACTTGGTAAGCACCTGGGTCAGCTCGTTTGTACCACTGAAGCTGAAGGAGAGAATTCATAGGATCACTGCTCTGGGGAGTTGGCCCTAGCAAGAGTACCATGTCCACAGTACATTGTGATCTAGCCTAAGAGCCAGGCACTTGTAAGGCATTATGGACAGGGTAACTAACATGGGCCCTGTCCTTATGGAGCTTGGTGTCTGGTGGATGAAACACCTAAACACTTGTCTACCCATTTCCCATACTGACTTCATTCCCCTCATGCCCTTCAGAAAGATTAAATACCTCTACTTCTGCCTGTGATGGGTAAGGTCAGGAAGACTGGCTGAAAGGCTTAGCATCAAAGTGTCTGTGACAAAGTTGGACAGGTTTAACCTAGTTCCTAGTGGTAGGGACAGGCACTAGAAACTTTTGTTAAGAAGGAACCAGGAAGTCCAGAATGTTGGTGTACAAATTCAAGAGTTAAGACCGAAAAAAACAGAAGAAGGGTGCTCAGAGCCATATTAGTGGGTAAGACTGTCAAAAATGCTATGGGACCTGGGAAAGGGCTTCACACCACCACCTCTGTAAGCTTTTCCTTCCTAGGCCTTGTGAATCTTGTCAACTATTTTGTTTTGGCTGCCTTCCAGAAATTTTAATAGATTGTACTGTGTGTATGTGTGTATACGTGTGTATACATGTACTTTTAGAGAATAAAACATACGAGGCAGAGCAAAACATACTAAGTCACCTGATGATGTACTGCAAATTGATTCAGAATGACCTGGACTGCCATGAATTAGCCACACTTCTGTGACCCACGATTACTTCTGTTGGGGACATTGGCATATCTATTATAGTCCAGTCAAGATATCAGACTTTGCTTTGGGAGGCGGTTTTATACCTCCTTGCAAATACAAGGACCTTGGCATAGATTCTCAGTGTGCATCAGAATTGTTTGCTTGCTTGCTTTTTATTTCTTGAGATAGTTTCACTGTGGAATTCAGGCTGGACTTGAACTCCCTGCCTCAGCTTCCAGAACACTGAGATTGTAGGCATGTACCACCATGGCCAGCTTCAGGATTGTTTGGCTCTTTCAGGCCCTTTGCCTCCAACTGGTGTGCACTGGCCAACTGGTTGTGTTCTACCATTCCCTTGGTAAAAGAGCACAGAAGAATGGTGAACTCCCAAGATGCTGTGCCAAGAAACAATACTTGCACCACATTCTAACAAATGGAGACATTCCCAGGCTGTATGAAGCTGGGTTCCACAGCATCCCCCAAGTAACTCAACATAGGCCCCTACCTCAGACTTCTTTGTTCTAATCTCAACTCTGACTGATTAGCTGTGCTGTGTTTAAGGAGGTCTTTAACCTCCACACTCCAGTTTCCTTGTGTGTAAATGGGGCCTGTACCTCCTAGAAGTAAGTACCTAGAAAGTACTTGGGGCAGTATCTAGTAGTTCACAAATGAACAACTTCCTGGCTGTAAAACTGTGGGGGTTTTTTTATGAACCAGAAGACATGTAAAATGTATTGACCCAGTAATTTAAATAATGTTTATATTATCTGTTACCACACATTCAGGCTTAGAAACCAGGGCTTGCTATATGACAAGGGTAAGAAGCTTACAGGAAACCCTCAGTAGTGGTCTTGGCCTCAATGGCCACAGTTGTCAGTCCAACCCAGTACATCCGTAGGATCACAGCTGAGTCCCCACCAGCAGCTCAGTATCCTGCTCTCCTCCCCCCAGACACCATGGTATGCACAGGCTGCTGCTCCTGCCTGGACCACATTGTGACGTACCTCTTCAAGCAGCTGTCGCGTAGCACCAAAAAGAGAACAACACCCCTGAACCAGGAGAGTGACCGCTTTCTGCACATCATGCAGCAGCATCCAGAGATGATCCAGCAG